ACGTCAGTGTTTTTTACCTCCCACACATTTAACAGACACCAATTGACAATCTTTTTCGCGACTATAGAGAGAAATAGGGGAGGAGCCTAGGGGTGGTGTTTCAGCCCTTTGTTGATTCTCTGGGAGTGGGGGAGGGTGGGGAGGGGGTGGGGTGGGAGGAGTGGGAGGGGTGGGTTGAGTGGGAGGGGGAGTGGGAGAGGGGGTGGAGTAAGTGGGAGGGTAAGGGGAGGGCTAGGAAGGTAGGAGGAGGAAGAGGAGAGTGGGTGAGTGGGCGATGGAAAGTGACTGACTGGAGAGGAGACGGGGAGTGGGCGGAAGGGACTGTGTTTCCTTTGCTAACATATAACCTAACCTAACTAACCTAACCTAACCTAACCTAACCTAACCTAACCTAATTTAATCTTAACCTACACCAATCAGAGAGCGTTATACCCGTGTACGCGTGGATTCTAAAAGAGTTGACTGGGTGTAGGTAAGTGTAGAGGAGGTGTGGAAGAGATGTGTGTGTGTGTGTGTGTGTGTGTGTGTGTGTGTGTGGTGTGTGTGTGTGTGTGGTGTGTGTGTGTGTGGTGTGTGTGTGTGTGTGTGTGTGGTGTATAGCTTTGTGTTTGTGTGAGTATGTGTGTGCATGTGTGCTTGTACATTACCGCGTCTATGCGTACACACTTAGTCACATGCGTGCGTGTGTAACTTAGTGTGTGACTGTGTACATGACAGCTAGTACGTGTGGGTTTTATTTACGCTGTGTGCCTGTAGCGGTGTGTGCGTGGTGTGTGTGCGTGTGGTGTAGGCGGACCAAATATACACAGTTGTGGTATGAATTACACTAACACACCATTCATTCTGATCGACCTCTCACACACACACACACACACACACACACACACACACACACACACACACACACACACACACACACACACACACACACACACACACACACACAGACAGGGTAACAGGTTATCTCACACACACATCTAACCTCGTTTACATGTTATAGAGACAGACACAGTAACACCTATTGATTACCATAGAACAACACCAAGCTCTTGTGTAGAGGCACCACTATTAACGATAACAACCTGATGATTCATAGTGGTTGTGTTAAGTTCTCTTTTTGTAGCCTGTTTAACAAACCTAACCTAACTACTTATTAACCTAACCTATATTAACAACCTAACCCTAACATAGCAAACCCTAAACCCTAACCTATATTAACAACCTAACTATATTAACAACTCAACTAACCAAACCTAACCTAACAAAACCTAACCTATATTACCTAACATAACCAAACCTAACCAACCTAACCTATATTAACAACCCAACCTACCCAAACCTAACCTATTACCAGAAAAGCCTAACCAACCAAACCCTAACCTTACCTAACCTAACCAAACTAACCTATATTAACCTAACCCTAACTCCTTCAAGACACAGACCAATACAGAAAATACCTGTTTTTCTTTTATTTATTTTAACACCTTGGCATCATTTACCTGAGGGTTATTTGGGTAAAGGTAACTAAGATATACTGTATTTTATTAATTTTCCTTTCTATCAGGTTATTTTTATTTTATTTTTAATTATTCTGTATGAGTTTTTTTTTCTGTATAGTGATTTTTGGGTCGTATTTCCCTTATATTACTCTAAACATAAACCGAACATAATATTTCTCTTATATTACCTAAACATTAACCATAATATTGCCCTTATATTAACCAAATGAGGTTTTAAGATCTTTAACACGTGAGTATTGGTATTCTTATCAACCCGTCAACACTGAAGGCTTACCCATACGACCATGTCTCCTACCTGTTATTTACCTGTGATTAATAACATAGACAACATCATCATTCATCATGCAGTAAAACCTCCATATAGCGGACTTCTCTCTCCAATGTAATCCGTTAGATGGAGTTTTTATATATAACCAATCTCGATATAGCGACTTTCATGAACAAATTTGTCTTTATATTCTTTTATTACCAACAAATATATAAAAGAAAAGTTAGTTAAGATTTATACGACATATAATTTACTTTAAAACTTTTTCAGCAGCAGGACACACACACACACACACACACACACACACACACACACACACACACACACACACAGAGCCTGGGTGAGCCATCTTATATCACCATTTAATGTGAACTTATTAGCTCTTTACAACCTTACATTAAGACATATAACATGGGCACCACTAATACTGTTCTCTACCTATCATGAGAAGTGAGAGTGAGAGAGAGTAGAGACACACAACATGACGGGTGCTGATGGAGTTCACAGGCCCCACGTTTCACCTTCAAGAGTGGGATAGTTTAGTCTCCGCCATTAAGGTTCAAACTTCACATTCAAACCATTAAACCCTTACCAGATGGTCCCGGCCCTGAGGCTTTTTTACGGTTGTGGTGGGTGTGGTGGTGGTGGTAAGAGGTGGGTGGTGGAAGAGGTGGTGGTGGTGGAAGAGGTGGTGGTGGTGGAAGAGGTGGTGGTGGTGGTGGTGGTGGTGTGGTGGTGGTGGTGGTGGTGGGAAGAGGTGGTGTGGTGGTGGGAAGAGGTGTGGTGGTGGTGGTGGTGTGGTGGTGGTGGTGGTGGTGGGTGTGGTGGTGGGAAGAGGTGGTGGAAGAGTGGTGGTGGTGGAAGAGGTGGTGGTGGTGGTGGTGGTGGTGGTGGTGGGGAAGAGGTGGTGGGGAAGAGGGAGGTGGTGGTGGTGGTGGTGGTGGTGGTGGTGGGGTGGTGGTGGTGGTGGTGGTGGGTGGGAGGTGGTGGTGGTGGTGGTGGTGGGTGAAGAGTGTGGTGGTGGTGGTGTGTGAAGGGAAGATAGGTGGTGGTAAAGAGTGGTGGTGGTGGTGGTGGTGGGGAAGGGGTGGAAGAGGCGGTGGTGGTAAGAGGTGGTGGTGGTGGTGGTGGTGGTGGTGGTGGTGGTGGTGGTGGTCTGATGCTTGGCCATGAGAAAAAACTCAGAATTGTGAATGTTGGAGTGACCCTGACGTTCATGGTGGTGTTGCTGAGTCACTGCCACACACACACACACACACGCACACGCACACACACACACAGTAACAGGAAGGTGTTTGGTAGATTTAACCTTCATAAAAATGGCGAGGCAGACAAATGAGAATCATGACGAACGAGGGAAAGGGAGGAAGAGGGAGGAGGAGGAGAGGAGGAGGAGGAGGGAGAGGAGGAGGAGGAGGAGGAGGAGGAGGAGGAGGAGAGGAGGAGGAGGAGGAGGAGGAGGGAGGAGGGGAGGGAGGAGGGGAGGGGGAGGAGGAGGAGAGGAGGGAGGAGGAGGAGGAGGAGGAAAGAGGAGGAGAGAGGAGGAGGAAGAGGGGAGGAGGAAGAGGAGGGGGATGGAGGAGAAGAGGGGGGAGGAGGAGGAGGGTGTTATGAACAGCCAAAAAGAGGTAGGAGGGAGGAGGAGGAGGAGGGAAGAGGAGAAGGGGAGGACAGAAAGATAATAAGAGAAACAAACAATGGAGAATCGGAAAGAGGGAGGAAGAAGAGAGAAGGAAGAGGGAGGAGGAAGAGGGGAGAAGGGAAGAGGGGAGGAGGAATAGCTTGAGAGTCAAAGTGGGGGGAGGGAGGAGGGTGAAGAAGTGAGCTACAGTCTTCGTAAAGAGGGCAGGAGAAGGCGGGGTGTAGTAGTCTTAGAGGCGTTAGTGGTTTAAAGAGTAATAAAAAAATGCGGATAATAATTTGAGCGCCACAAAGAGGACCATAAACTACTCAAACTACAAAAAAAAGAGGATGAGGGAGGGGAAGAGGATGGTGTTGAAGCTAAAGACCCGTAAAGAGGAGGGGTGGTTAGTAGGTTAAGACTAATCAAGAGGAAATCTATTTATTCAAAAGAACAAAATAATAAGGCCACTTGATAACTTCAGTGCCGTAAAGACTGTTAAGTTGTTGAAGTCTTACAAAGAGGAGAGAGAGGGGGGGAGGTAGTGGTTAGGCTCACGTAACGAGGAATCTCTGGAAGTAATGCCCCAAAAGAGGGAGTTTCAGTCTGTTCTAAGAGAATAAAGAGGGAGTTGAGCGCCGTAAGGAGGGCGCCAAGAATCATTAAGGTGAAGATTTGACAGCCAACAAGAGATAATGATAGCTTAAGACGTCAAGAAAAGACTCCAAAGTCATAAAGAGGAGTCTGGCAAAAGAGGGTATAAAGAGGGTCCGGGAGGACCATGCCAGGTTGTGAAGATTGGTTGTCGGATAAAAAACTGAATGAGGAATTACAAACTAAGGATGAGATCAATTGTTTAAAGCCGACCTTGCTGAGCGGATAAAGCACTCACCTCCCGACCCCTTGATCACTGGTTCGGCGTCCGAGGACCCCAAGTTCACCCGGCTGTAAATTTGTACCTTCGGTTTCAAGATGAGGAAAAAAGGCCGGCTGAGATACAGGTCTTCTTCTTCCCAAAAGCTTATCTGCAGTGTGTTGTATCCACGCCGCCCTGGAAGACCCGTCAGACTACAAGAACCATCTACCCTTATGAGAGGGATTAGTAAGCTAGAAACCTAACCTAACCTAAACCAAACCAACCCAACCAAACCAAACCAAACCAACCCACCCAACCACCCAACCTCAACCCAACTCAAACTAAACACCAAACCTAACACCTAACTTCAACCAACCACCCAACCCAACCAAACTCAACCTAAACCAAACCCAACCAAACCAACCTAACCTAATCTCTGAATATTACCCAGGAGTATAATAGGTTTGGTAGTTATGGATTATTAAAGAGGATTTAAGGATAAAGACACATAATAAAGAGGAATAGAGATAAAGACTGTAAAAGGATGAGAAAGCCACTGACGTCACAAAGAGGGATATATAAAGGAAGATCATAAAGAGGAGGCTGGTAGTTAAAGACGTCATAAAGAGGCCTCGGTGGTTAAAGACGTCATAAAGAGGAATAAAGTAATTCGAAAGACCTTAAGAGGATTTTGTATCAAAGCTCAAACTACCATTGAGGCCTTGATTACTTAAGACATCACAAAGAGGAGTCAAAGCCAAGATCACAAAGGGAGTTTCAAGAGCTCAAGACGTCACAAAGGAGTTTCAAGAGCTCAAGACGTCACAGGAGTTTCAAGAGCTCAAGACATCACAAAGGGGAGTCAAGAGCTCAAGACGTCACAAAGGAGTTTCAAGAGCTCAAGACGTCACAAAGGGGAGTTTCAAGAGCTCAAGACGTCACAAAGAGCAGTGTTAACAGCTAAGGCAAGACAAGAGGAATCTGACATATCTAGAGAGATCCTAATGAGCGTCTCTAGGATCTCAAACTACCTTAAAACAGACAGACAGACAGACAGAGACAGACAAAATGACACACAGACAGACAGACAGACAGACAGACAGACAAAGACAGACAAAATGACAGACAGACAGACAGAAAGATAGGATTTACCTGCTAAAAAGACTTCACAAAGAGGTGGACTAGTAGCATCAAGAGGTCATTATAGAGAGAAGACGTATCATAATGCTCTTAAAGAAGAGGATTTGTCTTGCCGAAGACTTCATAAAGCGGAGTTGGTTAGGTTAGGTTAGGTCAGGTCAGTCAGGTCAAGTCAGGTTAGGGCCAAGTCAAGTCAGGCAGATCAGGTTAGGTCATCAGGTCAGGTCAGGGGGGTCAAGTTAGGTTTGGTGACCATAATGAGTAATCTGGGATTTTAAACCTCGTAAAGTGGAGGTTTTGACAGCTGGGTCGTCCTGAAGACAGAATTTAGCGGGTGAGTCGTGATGAGGGAGAGGGAGCTGCCGGCTTAACACATTACGAATATAAAAAAAATTTGATGGCTGACTGAAGAGTAAAGACCGGGATTTAGAGGTTAAGACGTCCATAAAGAGGGGGAGGGAAGGGAAGGAGTCTTAGTGGTAACACAGTCGTCACACAAAGAGGGGGGAGGTCTTAGTGGTAACACAGTCGTCAAAAGAGTGGGGGAGGTCTGGTACACAGTGTCACAAAGAGTGGGGGGAGGTCTTAGTGGTAACACAGTCGTCACAGTGGGGAAGAAAAAGGTCATTGAGTGGAACACAGTCAGTCACAAAGAGTGGGGGGAGGAGTCTTAGAACGTTGTCACAAAGAGGGGAGGAGAGGGGGCTTAGTGGTAACAGTTGTCACAAAGAGTGGGGGGAGGTCTAGTGGTAACACAGTCGTCACAAAGAGTGGGGGGGAGGTCTTAGTGGTAACACAGTGTCACAAAGAGTGGGGGAGGTCTTAGTGGTAACACAGTCGTCACAAAGAGTGGGGGGAGGCAACAGTCGTCACAAAGAGTGGGGGGAGGTCTTAGTGGGTAAAACAGTCGTCACAAAGAGTGGGGGAGGAGGCTCAGTGGTAACAGTTGTCACAAAGAGGAGGGAGTTAGTGGTAACAGCTGTCACTAAAGAGAGGAGGGGAGGGGGTCTTAGTGGGAATACAGTCGTCACAAAGAGGGGAGAGGGTCTTAGGAACACAGGGTCACAAAGAGGGGAGGGAGGGGGTCTTAGTGGTAACACAGTCATCACAAAGAGGAGAGAGAGGGAGTGAAACAAACCACTGAAGACGTTTTGAAATGGCTTTCACCAGTTTGAGTCTTTTCAAAGAGGGAAGGTGTTAGTGTTAGAGAGAAGAAAAAAGAAAGAAAGAGGGATAACAGATAAAGAAAGAGGACTTCTGGCAACTCAAACCACAAAAGAGGATGGACCTAAAGACGCTGCAAGAGGACCCCCTTCTGGTACACGGTCGTAAAAAATTAAAGACAAGACTTGAGAGAGACAATGGCAGCGAGGAAATTCCTGAAAGAGTTGGTGAGGTCAGAAAGAAGAGCACCATAACCATTACTAATAACATGTATAAAAAACCCATGATGCAGTTAAGGTGCCCAGTGACGTGATGGTGCCCCATACAGGTACGTGATGGTTAATGCCCACAGGTGGCAATGGTGCCCTCATGCAAGTGACGTAATGGAAAGTCTTAAGGTTAAATATATGTGGTTAATGGTGACTTAAAAATTTGACAACTCTAATAATAAGTTTTTTCTAATAGCCAAGTCGATAACATTTCAAAAAAGAATCTAAACACTAATGGTCTAACAACCTGGCGGTACATTACAAACCACAGCTGTAAATGCAAATTGCGACAAGAAAAAGAGAGAGATTCAGGACAGTGAACAAACACTAGCCAGCGGTTTACGACAAGTGTGGAGCAGTAAAGTCTTTAGTCTGTCTCTCATTTGGTCAGCGAAAGACAGACACCTTCAGGAGTGGTGGTGTAAAGGTGGTAGTTTGTGGGTCGTCAGCCAGGTGGTGAAACGGGGTGTTGAGGTCAAAAAACAAACACAGGTGCTATAGTTAATTAGTAGGTGGGTGTTTGTGGTGTGAGCAGTGACAGGTGAAGCACCACATACCCAGAGGTAAGCTCAGAGGTTCATTGTTGTAATGACTGTGTGGCCAGACTCACCGGGGGTACTCTCTATTAAGGAAACTGTATCGTGAGGGGTCTCTCTCTCTCTCTCTCTCTCTCTCTCTCTCTCTCTCTCTCTCTCTCTCTCTCTCTCTCTCTCTCTCTCGCTCACATTTCTGGAGTCAGGTGAGACCCTGGGACAGAGAATATGTGGAACTGATAAAGGAGAATAATGCAAGGGAGAAAGTGAAGAAATGTGAAGAGCTAAAACACACACACACACACACACACACACACACACACACACACACACACACTGTTCAGACTCAAATATAACGAATAAACACTAACTCACTAACTAACTGTTTAGGAAAATACAACGACAAAATTAAATACAAGATGAAGATACAGCAATACAGTACCGTCTCTCCTACCTTAGTTACAGTATTAAATCACTGTATTCATAGTTACGTGTTGTTATGTTGAAGGGCTATACAGTACATTAAGAGACATAGATGTTCACGTTACCTCCACCCCCTCCTGCCACCCCCCACTCCCTCCCTCCCTCCCACCCACCCCATCCCTCACCCCACCCACCCCACCCCCCCCTCACCCCTCCCTCCCACCCCACTCCACCCCACCCCACCCCACTCCAACACCATGTCTAGGGGTCATCAACTATACCTGTACCCCGTCTTAAACTTAGCTGCCACGCAACATCTTGTTCACAAAATTTATCAAACCTCCAATATCGTATAGCGCCTAGTCACAATAATCTATATATTTATACAATATAACTCCCCTTCCAAGTTATATTACGGTTTATATATTATAAGAGTATATTAAAGCTGACGTATAACACTATGATACCTTATGATAGTCTCTCAGAATCAAGTTTATATAGATTACTCAAGTTCCTTTCTTGTGTGACTGTACTCCGCTGTATAAAACTTGATTCCTAAAATTTCGTTCCAGTGTTAAGTGTTTCATCTCTACAGTTAATATTTTACAGGAATACAAAAACACAAATTACAGTAGACTACAGTACAGTTTGGAAAGTGAAGTTGCTCGAGTGAAGTACAGTCTACACTGCCTCCATGTTGTACCAAAGGATTAGTATTCAGTACGCTGTATCCGCACTGCCCCTAACGAGTCGACAGCCGCACGAGAGCCACTTTAATTTTGCGGTTAATTCTGTGGTAAATTCTGTGATGAAAGACGGGAATTACTCTTTCTCTCAGGGTAGGTTCTGTGGGCAGGGATTTGTCCACACCTGAATATTTTAGGCTGAGCAAATACGCGTTCTTTTTAATGGTGGGATAAGACGTTGTTGCTGCCGAGGAAATTCAAACTATACCCAAAATGGTCTCGTTTCTTCTCTTTCTCACAGGAGAGAGAGAGGGGAGAATAGCCATTATTTTTAGTAGGAAGGGATGAAAAAGATAGACTAATGAACCTCTTCAGTCACCTTTAAGAATAAGAGAGAGAGAGAGAGAGAGAGAGAGAGAGAGAGAGAGAGAGATGCGTTACCCCTTAAAAATCTTGTGTGATGAGCTTTTACATACCCCCTTTCTCTCCCCCTTCTCTATCTCTCCTCTCGCCTTTCTCAACCTTTTCTCTCACTTTCTACTCCCCTTCCTTTCATCCATTTCTACCCCTATTCCCCTTCTCTCACCTTCGATTCCCCCTTACTCTCACCCCTATCCCCCTTCGTTCCTTTTCTCTACCCCTTCTGTCAGCCTCTACTCTCCTTCCTTACTCCCTCTTTGGGGCGTGGCTTCATAAAAGTGTTGGAGATCTCTTGAAACTGAATGTCCCAGTCACCCCAGACGAACCCATTCATGCCATTCCTCCTTGGCTGGATATATCAGTTTCTATTAATTACACTCCTGTTGGTAGTAAGCAAATGTTAAACACCGATGTGGTGAGATGTGTCACACTAGAAACTATTAACAGACACATAGAAAGTATTAAATCAAGTGAATGTTATACTTTTACTGATGGTTCTGTGCAGACAAACACAGGTAGAACAGGCTGTGCAATTGTAATATATAAGGAAAAAGAGATGATAGTGTCAAACAAGCAAAGGCTGACCAACTGGGCCAGCACAACACAAACTGAACTAACTGGAATCTACTTAGCCACAGACTACCTTAAAGAAAATGGAGGTGGGGTGATATTCTGTGACTCTCAAAGTGCTTTGAAATCAATGAACAGCCCGTCAGGCTCGATGTCTAAAGTTGTATGTGGTATTAAAAGGAATGTGATAACTGCCAATGAGAACAACTTTCGTATCGAATTTGTGTGGATTCCGTCCCAAGTTGGAATTAGGTATCATGACCGTGCTGATTGACTGGCCAATGAAGCATGTAAGAAAGAAAATGTTGACCGTGACCTTGGCCTGTCCAATGCTGTAATTAAAAACATTCAAGTCAGAATCATGAACTCTGATCTAGAAGAACTGAGAAATGCAGAGAGACCTGACAGTTGTAGCATTAGTAAATATGACAAATTTTGTGACAAGAGGTACCGGTATGGCCAGCATAAGGACAGAACCAGACAATGTGATGTAGTCGTGGCCAGAATTAGGCTAGGATACAGACACATCTGGCAAGTTAGTAACGCTGTACCCATACCGGAACACTCAGCATGTAAACTTTGTGATAAACCTTTAAAACATACACTTGAACACTATATTATTGAATGTGACACTGTCAAAGACTTCAGGCCACCTGACTTATTGTATCTTGAACTATGTAATTACTTCATTGAATCAGGTGTGCTTGAGGACATTCTTGCTGTTTATCCCAAATTTGCTAGCCCACACTGAT